GGCAACGAGGTAGCAACGTGGAAATCTGTATTTGCCAGTCGCGAAAGTGGCAATAGCAGGGGCACGAAAACGAGAAAGAAGGAGAGGAAAAAAGAAGGAGGAGAAGGAGAAAGAGAGAGTCGTAGCTCGTTCGTTAAGACCGCATACGCGACGACCTCGTTACTACAACGCGGTCGCTCCCCTTCGGTTTCCGTTCGGTTAACCGTAAATTACAACCACGACCGGTGTGTAACGAGCATAATGGCGACGGTAGTCGGGTGAAGGTCGGCCAACTCGAGCGAACGACGGATACGAATCCCGATCGGCGGATTTCGTTTCTTTCTCAATAGGAGGAGGGAAGAGGAAAAAGGAAATGAAAAAGAAGAAACGAAGAGATCATTCGGCGTGTGTAGCCGACTCGAGCATTCGGAAATCGAGAAAAAAGGCCAATACCAGCGGAGAGGTGTTCTTGTATCAAGCGTCTGATCGGTGATAGGCAACCTTCGTTCTTATGGAGCTTCGTCGAAAGATGAAACCTCGATCGAGGGTAACGATATGCAGATTCGATTATCCTTCAAAACGTTTGCGTAGGTGCCTATCTTTTCTTTTTTTCTTTTTTTTTTAAATTTGATTTGTTTCTGATCTGAAAAATGTTTCAGATCGTTTGAACTTGATTCTTGAGGTTTTGTAGAATATTTAGGACGATTATATTTTGGAAATTACACAGCCGATAACTCGAGCTTCAAACAGAAAGAAAATTCCGTTCGATTTTTAATATTCTTTCGTCGAGAAAAGAGGATCCTCAGGTCTACAGCTTGATATCAAGAGGATAGTCAATGAAAAATAAAATGGAAATAATTGCTCGAATGCTTATACACTTTTAGAAAAGAAAAAAATTGTGTTTTAGTGGACGTCCTATTCAGACTGAAGAAACGAGCAATATTTAAATGTGTGTATTTTAATAGTCGTGAAGCAATGAGTATTATCAAACGTACGGCTAAGTATCCTGTAATTGTAATTAGTTATACATATGTATATACATCGTTAAGGACAGTACATACATTCTTAATACGAAATATATAAAAACTAGAATACGTAAATACAGTTATTATAAACTCGATCGGCATTCAACTTTTACATAATTTGTAAAAAAAATTATGAAGAAGAAAGCTTCGTTTTGATTTAACGAGGGAAAATTCGTTTATTATAACGAATCCCTTCTTCGTACGATCATTCTTCCCTCGCTGTGCTGCGTATTACAGATATCCTCGTTTAAAAGATCCATCTTTGCAGAGCTTATTTCTTGTAATACTCTAGATCATATTCTAGAACATAAGGGTTCCCATTATCCTTCTGAATAAAAAATAATTGCATCGTCGTTATCGGAGGTAGCTGATTAACCGATTGGAAAGCTGGAGGATTAACCGCGAATCATCATCCACCGGTTATCCGAGTTTCACATCGTGGCGTGGGGCCCACGTTCGTTTCGTTGACGAGGTAAATAACAAACAACGAGACCGCCAGTTATATTGATAAGATTAATTGCTATACTTTGGAGAGAACGAGGGAGATCGGCATCGTGTTGTTCTGCTTAGCTCTAACGATAATAACTGGCCGAGAGTCTGGGCGGTGCGGCAGCCGTGGCAGATAGGGGTAGATATCTCAACGATAGAATAGAAAATGCGGGCAAGGTTATTCCCTTTCCAATGTACGCCACAATGGACACGCGGAACCGCAACGATCGACGATATATGTTGCTCGCCCGAGAACTGGGACACCTTCGAGGCGGGATGGTTAGACACACTGCGAGAGTGATACTTTCCAAACTGATTTCTGGATGCTGAGACGGAACGAGACTCAACTCTGACGTCCTCTTTCGATTATTTGAAATGGAGCTACTTGATATCCCCTTTTTTTTTTTT